ATGTTTAATGTATGTACCAAATTGAACAAAATCCGTCCATGCATAACTGAGATCCAGGTCCGGAATGGTGAAAATGTGTGATTTCAATGCATTTTCGGCTTAAAGCGGCCGCCATTTGGCTATTGATAATGAGATCATGAAACAAATGCACATACATATTTGGGACATGATGTACCTTGTGTGTGTGAAGTTTGAACTCGATCAATGCAGGCATGTCTCAGATACGGATCCAGAACTGAATTCTTTAAAACAAAATGGCCGCCAGTCGGCCATTTCAAACCCGATCCAAAACAAAAAATGACGTGCATCAAGGTCCTATTATGTTTAATGTATGTACCAAATTTGAACAAAATCCGTCCATGCATAACTGAGATCCGGGTCCGGAATGGTGAAAAAATGCGATTTTGATGCATTTTCGGCCTTAAAATGACCGCTATTCGGCTATCGTTAATGGGATCATGAAAAAAATGCATGTGCATATGTCCCATATAATGTGTGATGTATGAGTGAAGTTTGAACTTAATCGGTCCATGCATGTTCGAGATACAGGTGATCACGGACGGACGGACGCACGGACGCACAAAACATAAGTCCCCGTTTTCGGACTACGTCCGAACGGGGACTAACAACATGGTTAAATTGAGTCGTAGGGTTTTATTTTGTTTGTTGTGAAAAATTATACACACAAAAGGGGAAATCAACACGGGGGTAAAAATAATAAGAAAAACTTATCATACCAGCCACAGTGTCGGCTACCGCTGGCCGCGGTAGCAACCCAAGCCAGAAACCCGGACAGGAAAAGGCAGGCTTTCCAGCCAGAGCCGCTAGACTTTATCCCCTTGGTCACGTGGTTCGCGGCGTAAAAGAAACAAATCTTGGGGTCATGGGGTTTCCCCTGACCTAGATTTTATCTCTCAGTCATTGGCAGAATCGCTGATTAATGCTTACAGTTCAAAATAGTCATTTTGACTGACCAGAGTCTATGGTGGGTAATTGAACATAGTGAATGGAGCAGCTCACAACTCTTTTTTCTATTTTCTGTCAAATGCTGTAGAAATTGTCTGTCTTAATTATATTTACCGTACTGGCTCTGGGTTCATATCTTCAGTCACAAACATACTACCCACCTAAAAATAAATAAATACAAGTTAAAAAATTACTTCATGAAAGTTGTTCAAATGGTGAAATGCAAACATTTTTGATATGAACATTATAAATGTTCACGGTATTTAATTTAAAGATCTACAAAAACACACAAGTAATATAACAGACTGGGAATATGAAATTAACTTACCATGTTAGTTATTGCTGAAAAGAATCCACCACTACCAGGTTCATGCTTCACTTCAAACTGCCTACATACATTGAGAATAATACTATATCATAAATTTATCTAAATAAGTTACTAACTATACACAGAGGACACTGTGTGAATAACAATTGATGGCGTCCATCATTTTCAGACATGATGTAGACACTTTGATAAGATATTATTGTGAAATTAGTGCAAATTCTAAAGTATGCATTAAAGTAAGTTTTTTGAGTAAGATTATGTTTAAACCACAAGTACCCGGTATATGCAATCCTCACTTAGTTTTGATTGACAGTCAGAAGGTCACATGATATCAAGTTAGAAGATACAATAAAGTTTGAGTGTGAAAGTGACAGGGGTATTTCTACACATCTTATGCAAGAAGATTAAAGCAATAAAATCTATAGAGTGGTTCGAGAGATAATATTGCTGCATTTTCAAAGGGCCACAGAATACACCGCATCACTACTGAAAATAAATTCTATACTGCACAAACATCAGTGCGAGACCACATGGGTT